CAATGCCATTTTGCAAAAGAAAAATTTTTTAAAAGTAACTGAAGAGGATCGAAATGTTAAAAAATCATTTTCTCTCACCAGCTTTGAGAATCTGTTCACATGCAGCCTCTCTGAAGCCTGGAGAAAGGAAAAGAAAATGTATTAATCTAACCTTTAAACAATATTTGTACCATATACATCAATAACATGTAGATCGATAGAGACAAACAGTGTGCGCTGTCTGTTTCCTTTTTTTTATTTACTTTTGAATAATGATAAATGTACTATGAACAATTTTATTGATTCGAATGGAAAGATTTCGATTTTTCTTAAGTAAAATCTTAAGTTTGAATCTTATGAATAGAGAAATAAGTGTTGGAAAAACTTCTCCCCAAATGGGTCCGACGCGACTCGATTCTTTATTAATCAAGGACTCAATGTAATTACCGAATACCGAGAAGTTAATACAAAAGAAAAAATTAAATGAACTAAAATTTAAAGGCAAAATATGAGACTAAAAATGCGGTTTACATCGTATTATTTAAAATATTAAAAAATAAACTTAATATTATTTAATAATTAATTTTTTTATTTTTTATTTTTAAAATCTGTAATATTATATATATCAATTAATTTAATAATATAATATAAATTCTAAATTTTCATTCCAAATTTTTATCTCCCTATCATTACTCTTTACTTTTAGTAATTATTGAAAATGTATTATCTGGATTTTTGAGTTAACTTTGCTTCTTAGCCGCTATTTTACAAAATATGGGTTGGACTATTGGAGTGTCGTGGAGGCCCATACGGTGACGTAGGAAACGAAGATTTGGGTGTCAGTATCGGTGATCCAGCACAGCACAGCACCGTTTATGGAAACAGTGCTCAGACCCAGCCCAACATCTTTACCCTTTTACTTTCTTCATCTCCAGTATTGATGTTGCTAAGGAAATAATAGTGACCGGAGAGGCGGAGATTCATGGCGGTGGCGCGGCTCATACGACCTCTAAGACAATGGCCGCAAGTGCAGAACCGTTACTGCTTTCTCACAGCTCTCGATCACCTTCTATTCTCATCCTCACCGGTGACGGTAGCTACTAAAGTCACCTTGCATTCTTTCTCTTTCGCGACGGTTACTTCCTCTAGCCGGAACGTCCGTCACCGGTCGCGCGGACTCATATTGCCTAATTCTCCTACGCTGCCTGATCTCCAAAAGGAAGATGGCGAGACCAGTGATTCGGATACCGATGTGAAGAAAAGCCGCAACCAGAAGAAGCGCGAGGCCCGGCGCGCCGTCCGTTGGGGCATGGACCTCGCCTCCTTCTCCACTCCCCAAATCAAACGCATACTTAGGTACAATCAGAATCATACTTCAATTATTTCCGAATTAACAGCAAATTTGTTTTCCCGCCCGCCATAACTTTTCATGATTTGTAACGATTTGCAGAGTGGCGGCTCTCGAACAAGAAGTATTGGAGGCTTTAATGTTAGTGAAGGTGCTTCTTAGAACTTAGAAATTCAGTGGTTAGTTGCAAAATTTTGCATTTTTCCGAGCATTATTTTGTGTTTTGTTGTTGAAGATAAGGTGTTTGTATTTTTGCCACAGAGACTCGGGCCGGATGTTCGAGAAGGAAAGCGTAGGCAGTTCAATTATATTGGTAAGAAAATCTGCTTAATTTAACATAAAGCTTATCTCTTGAATCATATGTATTTAGGAACTTCCACTAAACTCTGAAGTTGTTATTAAGAAGTTCTCAATCTCAATGTTATTTTATGATTCCTTAGTTCCTAAGTTTAGAGATTATCATGAATGTGATTCTAATTTGTGTGCCAATCATTGTTAGGGAAACTGCTACGAGAAGTAGAACCTGAATTAATGGATTCATTGATTCAGGCTACGAAAGTTGGTGATCAGAAAACACTGCAACATCTAGCTTGTTTGCAGCCACAAATCATTGAAAATGAGGATGATGATGAAGAATCCGAAAGTGAGGATGAAGATCAGGTAGATAGAAATTTTTGTTTAGCACGTGTAGCAAGATTCAAGTTTTGAGTTATATATCATGTAACACTAGAGAATTTGAATTGTTATTATCATATCTGAGGATGGTTTTCGTTGAACTTGTTTGATCATTTTTTTCAGGTATCACAAGCTCACACCAATATTGCAAGTAGATGGTTTGATGGCTTGATCAGTAAGGACATAACAATTACAAATGAAGTTTATTCGATTAACAGCATTGATTTTGATAGACAGGTAATTAGAATAATGATAATAAGTTATTGATATTGCAGTCTTTCTACTTCCGGGAATAGAAGAAAGGGTACTTAGATATTAGAAAGAGTTCGGACTTATGCATAGGAATTCATCTAAGCATTTTGGCTTTGACTCATATGATTAGAATCCCAACTTTATGTTTCTCATATAAATTTGTCCCACTTGAAGTAGATGTGTAATTAAATTATGTTTTGATCTTTTTTTTATTTCTTTCACTCCTGTATATTTAATAGGAACTACGCAAACTTGTACGTAGAGTACACATGATGAAAGACAAAAGACAAGGTGTTATAGAGGAAAATGATGGGGCGCAAATAGATGCAGAAATAATGGGTGCCAAAAAGTCCCTCACCCATTTCCTTAGAGGCATTGCTAGGCAATTACCAAATGAATAACATCTGATTACTTGTAACATTGTCATTCTTCTGTGCAATAAATTAATATTGTTGACCTAGGCATATGATTCAAGCATAGCCAATTAAAAATTTATTTGTATTTATGCTAAGAACTTTGTAACTTCCAGCAAGTATTACAGATCTTTATATATGAGCTAGTGTTTGTTTCCCCTTATCTTCTTTTCTCTTGCACTGTGAACATTTTAAATTAGCTAGTGTTTGCAATTCATCAGTTAGTGTTATCTTCTTTATATATCTACCATTCACACTTTTCTTTATGAATTAATATATTTAAAATTA